GCCAGCACAAAGATAGCCAGAGCTCTAAAAAAAAATAACAGCACGCAGCGGAGCAAAAACACACAACCGTTCTCCAACGCTTCTCAAAGTAGCTATTATGAACAAATGATTTTATAAAACGTTTTTATTCAGCAAAGAATTATGATGTTGGTTGGACTTATGCCGATCTTGGTTGGACCTAAAAAAATGATGATGGTTGGACCTATTTATGCAAATGCTAGTTTAGAGCTTATTGGTATCATGAAAAAAGCACTTTTTATAGAGTTTTTATGAATTTGTTTAAAAAAATTCAATAAATTTGAGTCACTGAGTTTTAAACAAATATCGATTATTTTTTGAATCGTTCAACTGGTTCCGGAGATATGTCCGGAACAAGCTTCATATACCCGGACGTTAAATTACACAGCGAAAAATATCTTATGTGCAATTACTACTGAAGTAGCTTGTTTGGCTGGTGTTAGGTATTTTAGATATAAATGTATCGTTTTTTAACAGAAAAGACTACAAGTGTACGCAAAAAATTTCTTGTAAAAGTATTTAATTCCTTGTCTCTCTTTATTAGTTTTTTGTTTGTCTTATCCCCAGTCTCGATTAGTCTCAGTCGAACTCCAGACGAATCTAAAACCGCACTACCGTTCATACTACGGACAACGCTCTGATGAGACAATGAAACCCCACCTCCAAGATCCTCCCTTGGTCCTATCCTTCGACAATGTACCCCTCTAATCTTAGGTAAGTCGCGAGTATTCGGCTCAACTCCTACTAGATTGATTGGTTACAAACAATGATCAATGAATTATCGACTCCGTAAAGCAAACACGATTGATCCTTTCAAATAAACGAACTACATAAAAAAATGAACACCAAATTCTCGGAAAGAAACATTAACATTGGATTCAAACACATTGTTTTGATAGGTCTCACTTGCCCTGGGCCATGCAATATACCGTGCCTTCTGGAATTAATGTACTATTGATGCAAGCTATCTAAAACTTTAAACTGCTCCATAAAGAGTGCGTGTAACTTTATTCGCTAGTTCAAAGTGACAGGTTAGTAAAAAGTGTTTTCTAGAGACGAAGATGAAAACAATAATCTTTTTATTGTGTGCACTGTAAGCGGTAGCACTGTATCTTTCATCTTATATAAACATTAGGGCGCTGTACTTTGTTCAATATAATTATACTTTAAAATACTTTTTTTTTTCAAAAATGAAGCAACCTATGTCCATCATTGATCTTATTATTGAACTCTTATGTTATTTGATGGGTTTTGGATCCAGACTAATTCTGTCCTTTTTCTCCGGGGGTTGCAAATGGAAGTCAGGAGGTTGGGCTACAATATTGACTTTTTAGTGGAGAAATCGTGTAATTTAATCGAAATATATTCGATAGCGTTCTATCCCAAGTAACAAATCCAGAGCTACTTGGATTTATTTGAATTTTGTAAAGGTTTTATTGCAGCAACAACAATTTCCAATAGTTTTATGACGGTCATACACATTTTCATTAAAAGAAAGTCTTATAAAATACTATAAGCTATCTAAAAAGCACTAATAAATCCGAATATAAAACCAACTGATGCTAATACTATTTAGATTTATGAAAGGTTTTATGATTGCTTTATAGTGTATGATAAGCCAATTTGAATTGCTCTCAGTAAACCCGCCAACCTATCCCAATGTTGATTTAAGGCCCAAGCGCAATGACAGCGGAAGCGGAAATTCTCGATCTGAGTAAGCCTACTTGTCGGATTGAAAACTAGTTTGAACCAAATCGACTCCTGCAAGGCATCTTGATGCCATTTGTGACAACTGTCAAACTTTCCGTTTCCGTTCCGCTTCTGCCCACATTTATGTTCGTGGACATGGATTAACTACACTTGGCTTTGAAGGGAAATTATGGGAAATACTCGAGGAAATACTAACGTACCGTATATGATAACAGACGACTTATCTGCTTTAAGCTTCCGAGTCAACTGACTCTTCCGTATATTCTATGTATTCTTTTATGCTGCCAGCAGTGCTGCCAGTTAGGCGTAAACAAAACATCGCACGGTCACTTGACAGATTGATGCTGTGTTAAATGCGCCGGTATGCCACAATAAAACTAGTTGGCTATGAAACATCCATTTTAAAACAGTGATAAGTACTCAAAAAACTTGTCAAAATTGTAAGCGCCACTAAAAACGTTTTCCATCATGGATAAAAGAAAACGATTAAAGTCTACCACCTCATCGTTTTGAATCATATTCACTTCTTATGCAGGAGCTGGAGCTGCCTTCCTGGCCGAATAAGCATTGAAAATTATCTTATTCCCCTTTTTTGGTGCGAGTCGATTGACAACTCAGTTGAAAGCTAGTCTGTCTAACTCCGAGAACATTATTGTCAAATATTAGTTTTATAGTGGATATGAAACGGTAATGTCTCGACCAAGTAGATTCATTGCTGGCATGATGAAGAGAAATTAGATTTACTATCGAAAACATTCTTGCTTCCCATAATTACTGCCAACAACTTAATCGCCTTATTGATGTTGGTAATTTATAGCCTTGAAAAAAAAAATCCAATGATTTTCGGTAAATTATTAGATACATTGAAGTTCTGAAATTAATTTCTGTGGGCTTCCATATTATTGAATGTGGTAAGATTGATTTTCTCGAAAACTAAAATAAACCAATCTAATTCAATTTTATTTCAATTCGCTTTTTTATGTTCATCTGCACTATTTTGATGGTGCATTGATTTTAGACTCCTATCATCCCAATATGCACGATAAAATTTTATGCTTTTAGAACTAAAAAAACTGCTATATGTAACTCTTCATTTAAGATCTTTTGTAATGCTGCCATCAAACAAAATCAAATGCATAACGATCTTGACACCAAGACAAAATCTTTTTGTCATGGCAATAGATTTCTAAATACAGTGCCTTCCCGTTTTTGGCAACATATAATTTTGGTATTCTTCACTTTCTAGAAAATCCATCCAACATTTAATTCCATTTCTGATATCACTAGACCCCTCTTTAAGTATCCTATTCACTAGGAATTTCCTTCTTTTTTCCTTTATTTAACGTCGGTCTCTGTTCCGCAATCTAGTGCCAATCACCAACGGACATCGTCACATGGGCCGGGACCAACGGCTTTACTTCCCTTCCGAAGAAAGACGTGACCAGAGATTTTTATGCCTCAGAAAAATCCCACCTACCTCGGCTGGGATTGAACCCAGACCCATCGGGGTGTTAGAAAGCAGTCACGCTTACCTCTACACCACCGGCGCCGGCTCACTAGGAATTTCCAATGTCACAAAAAATCACCAATTTTAAGAAAGAATTAGTTGATGAAGTCGTGTTGCCAAAAACGGGAAGGCACTGTACAACAATAGTCTGACTCACTGCTGTTATAGTTTCTTTTAGAACAGAACATCAACAAGCTTATTTATACCCGATGCTCTTAAGCAATACCAAATCAAATTGGATTTATAGCGTAATAAAACTGCATGAATTGAATATTACTCTTAAAGAGGTTTCGGGATCCTCTTGTAGAGAGTATGGAGATTGTTTCCGCAGTGTTTTATAACAGCTTTATTGATATTTTCAAGCATGCTTTAAAAACCTTACCAACAGTGGTCCACTTGGCAGGAAGATAGCCTTACAGCGATTATCATGAGGTTGTGGTGGAGCTCTTAGTTTTATTAACAGAGTTGTAAAGCTGATCTTAAAATCCGCTAAAAGTCTATAATAAAACATAAAATTTTAATTGGGATGGGACCATGGTACCTTTTATTTTACACCTGGTTTATACTAGTTGTTTTAATTCGTTAGCCTTGATGGCTAATATTATAATTCAAAATCAACAATTGAAAAGGTTTCATCAGCTTATGTAAACAAAACTTATTGCGGTCTTTTCTCGTGAATCGGAGCTCACTTATGCAAACCCAATATACCATCAGATAGAGGAAAGCTTCCCTTATCCAATAGTGTTGTTGATATGTGTAGGCGAACTCCGAAAAGCTGATGAGGCCTTTTAAAGTTGATCATCTTGAATTGTTCCAATTCTTATGTAAGAAAAGTTTAAACAAGACGGACTCAGTGGATCTGACGTAATTCTAAGAGTGACGTGGTCACCATAGTATTGTGCATTAAAAAAAAAAAAATATCTATACGTCACTGATTAATTGACTTCCGACGCGACCACAGCAATGCAAAAGGACTGTCATTAAGTGACAACAACAAAAAAACCACAAAAAATACGAAGGTCGTGGTGTCCGGAAAGGTCGAATGTAAGGTCGGAAGTAGGTTTGGAAGTCGGAAGCCAGACTTCCGAACTTTAACATGGTGCTGATGGGGTGAAATACCGCATTGTTGATGTGACCGCATAAACATGAATGATTTAAAAGGGAATATGATTACGCAGTCTCAAATTTATAATTTATGTGCACGTTCACGTTTAGCATTTTATTAAAAACAACTAACTCCTTTTTATTGCTATTTGATTCACTTGTGTCATGTATTTAGGCCAGAATTGAAAACAACAAATTGTACCTGTTTTTCCTACTCTAGAGATTCCATTGGAGAACAATTGAAAAACTCCAATAAATAAAACCGAGATCCAAGTGTGCAAACTTTCCAATCGCTCTTTTTAAATTTCTAGTGTTAAAGAGTTTCCACTGTTTCTCAAAATAATAAACAAGACACTTCCAGTCAACCGTCACCCGCACACCGCACTGTTTGTCACATATCCCACTAAATGACCATCACCGGTTTGCACATTGACATAATCCCATTTCATGAGACGAAGATTATCCGGCATCCCAAAGGATTAAAAGAGCACAGCGAAAACGTATTTGCCATCCTTTCTCCCACCAAATTCAATGAACATTGCCTCGAAGTTAATCCCGGACGCGTGCGCCCACTTATCGAGCCCGACGGGAGGCGTCAAAACAATTGGGTTTATGATTCTTTTTTTTTCCGTCGGGGTTGATTCCTATACCATCGACTCACCTGTCACAGATGCGTTGTCACTCAACCGGTTCGGGGGCGTATGGGCAGGCGTATGATGGTGGTGATGATCACTAATGGAAGCTCCCGTTAATCCACCGTACAGGGCACTGAAATCTTCCGGCGTACTGCTGCACTTCCGTTGGAGGGTTTTGTCTGCGGCGGTTATTTGACCACCGCCGGGTGTTCGGTTATCCTGCGATAATCCCAGTAGGCGGTTTTCATGCGATCCTATTCCCATGAGTCTGTTGTCCTGCAGTGACATAAACTTCGAATCCTGGGCATTATGCTGTAGGTTTCCGTGTGACAGATTGTGATCATCCAGTAGGCCTTGCTGCAGGCCTAGTAGGCCACCGACGAGATTCGGTCGGAGGTCGTCCATCAGTTTATTTGCTGCTTGAGCACTGGTAGCGCAAGTTCCTGTTCCGGTAAAGTTCAGTTGACGGCTGAAAATCGCTGGAAAGATGTTAAACTGTTGCGAATCGGGACTGGCCGGGCTTAATCCAGACGAGGGTGCACTACTACCGCCGCCACCAATACCAGCAGGGCCGGAATCGGCACACCCGTTTTTGAAATCCAACTTGGAGCCGAGGGAATTGTAGTGCCCGGCTGTCGATGAATACTCCCTATTCAGCACCGGTGAGCAACAATCCGACGGTAGATACAGTTTGAATCCGGTTAACACTCGTGCTGGGAAAGGTAAGTCGTATTCCTATAGCTGGAACTTTGTTCACTCGATTTAATACACCGCCGTTAATCCATATTGTTTTGCACAAATGACAACTAAACTGATTTGGTTCACTGTACACAATACAATTTCTTCCGCCAAGCCACGGCCAGCTTTGATCCGCACAGATCAACTAAACACCAAAATCCGATTACCGCAATTTATCTTCACCTCTTGAGTCACGTTCCATCAAACGCTTGAAAATTTTCCCTTTCAACGTCAAGGTTATCGGGGTTCGCCACTGGTACCCGGACTGATCGTAATCATCTGAGACATATCGAATTAATTTATGGAAATCTCAAGTAGATAATAGTATCACTTCAATTTAGTTACGTATATTTTTATCAGGACCTCCGTTTTGCGGCACCTCGCCACAGTCTGTTTCTCTCTGAGACTGTGTATGTGTAACGTTTCAAGTGGAGAAGAGCAACTATACCGAGGGGGGCCACTACTTGAAAATCCTGGAGGATACGAATCGAGAGTCTAAAGTTGGACAATTTTCTCGAGATGGAATTCCGCGACCGGTCGTCGTCGTCGTCGTCGTAGCACGATGCAAGAGTCGATCGGACTGAAAATGAAATGCTGGAAAGTAACAAAATTAATATCATCTGATGTCGCTGACATGTCGTGGGTAGGACTCGCAGAGGGATGCTGTGGCCTAAAGGAGCGAGTGAACGGGGCAGGTTGGAAGGATATGTTTATCCTGCGCTTTCCGAACCCGATGGCCGATTAGAGAGCATACTTGCGGGAGTGAGTTTGTTGGGATAAGAGCGAAAGAGAGCACAGTAGGCTGGCGTATTTCACGTGGTTGCTATGGTGTGTGTGCAAGCGTACGGAAGGACACTGCTGTTATCCTCGTTGCACAAGTCGGAATGGGCGAGATGGGCTGATGGAGGGTTGATCAGAGCATGCGCTGCATTGGGTTTGATTGTGTGTGAAAGCGAAAGAGAAGGACGAATTCTCTTGAGGAGAAATGTCCTGGCGTAAAAAATTGACCAATCATTTCAAGCTAATGTATGAACTGGGTTGCCAGGGTAACACGTGAGTTTCAAGGGTGATGCGATGCCATACGAATGATGGTGTTGGTTTGGAGCTGCGTTAGTGGGCATAAGGACTATCATATCGTTGTGGGGGAAACAATAAAACGATGAGCAGAACTAACCGTAACAAAATGGTGGTTTATTCTTGCCTGTGGCGCTCTAGGCTATATTGCTGTAGTCCAATTTGGAAAATAATATATTTGTTTTGTTATCCCGATATTGCTCGCTGTCTACGCGTGGCCCGGCTCGTCTCTGGAGATGAGAGAAGATGAAAATATAGATTGGAAAACGAATGAACGAATTGTCTTGTGATGAGGGAGGAGGGTTGTGTTGTTGAATGGACTCAGACAGGTCCCAATATGCTTCGGACTAGCGAGTGGATGTTTCGGGTGGCAGACGGCTCGAGCGGGCCCATTTTCCTATTTTTTGCATAAAATTTCAAATGTTTTGGTCTCTGTCAAATCATTAGACATAATTAAAGGCTTCTTCCTGGAAACTTTAAGTGTAGGCTTTTTGTCGAAAACATCCGTAGAAGTGATCGACGGATCATTGTTTTCAACTTCGCAGCAAAATAGGCTATGAATTCTAAATGACTGTTGCAAATGCCTACTGTTCGGATGAAACTCGTTCATATGTATCTTGAAGCCCCGAAGGTAATACAATACATATTCAACGACTGTCGCACTCTGATGCCGCTGGTGTTGTGTCCTGTTTTTCCGAGTATCGAGCGCGCTCCGTATTTTCTCCTCATTTATGTTTTGCCATCGCCAGCTCGCTTCTCGGCCGGCGGCACTGGCAGCATAACTGCGAGATAGGAATGATAATTGATTTAAAGGCTTTATCCTTCACCGCCGCCGTCGTCACGGTGTTGTGTGCTCCGTTCGTCCGCTGGTTCGTTGTGACTGTCTCTCGATGCGGTCGTTTCTATTACAGTCTGGCGGTCACCCTACGCTACCAAACACCCACCCACCCACAGTGTATATTTACAGGAATTCCCCGAATAGCGCGGTGGGTGGTGCTGTACACCCACCACTATTTCTCTGTTGTCCTCCAACATAGACTAGTGACCTACAAAAAATCAGCTCAGAAATAGCAGTGGGTGGACTGCACCACCCACCGTGCTATTCGCAGAATTCCTGTGTGTCCTATCCGAAGGAGTCCCGGCGGCAGTGTCGCGTGATGAATCTTGATGATGACGTTTCTAATGATCCGTGGAGAACGTCCCAGTTGTGAATCGAGAAGAGTTTTCTGTTTTCTCTTTTTGACTGGCCACAGACAGCATTGATCAGGATAATAACAACAACGACAACAACGGAACACCATAAGCCAGCAGAAGAGTAACGAAATTTGAACAATTTAATATTTGGACGGATTGATCGTACTCTGTCTCTGGGCAAACGGAAATCCTCTTCGATGATGTGATAAATTTAATGGGACCGGTTGTTCGAATTCTTGCATAGAGTTTCCGTTTGCAAGTTGAAAATCACTTTACTGTTCGGAGTTACTTAGTAGTTGACTTTCAAAGCTTGATTTAGCACAGGTTGCTTTCGTTTGTTTATTTGAATTATCACGATGTCACAAATATTCTAGTCAGTGGTTTGGATTATAGTGAATAGATAAATTTAAAAGAATTTTCGAAGTTCTATAAATCATGTCTACAATCATTGATAGTCGAATAACAGCTTGTTCAAGCATAGAAGCTTATTCGGAGTTTTATTTCCTTGATTTGTTTTCCGTGCTACCGTTTACCAATGCTACCGACGCCAAGGTGGAGCTCCCACTATTGGACTACCTATCGATCCATCAACTCATGGACCGGGGACCAACGGCTTTACTTATCTTCCCTCCCCGTGATCAGAGATTTTATGCCTCAGAAAATCCCGGCGGCGCCGACTGTGAATGAAACCAGACCCTTTAGAGTGAGAGGCAATCACGCTTATCACTACACCACTGCCGCTTAGCTTATTCAGAGTTAACATAGCTTACTCAAGATTTCAGACAGTCTAGTCAATAAAGGCACGGTATTGCCAAGTCGGAAGCGGTGGCGCCATTTTTTTTCTTAAGGTGCAACTGTACTTCATCTTGACTAGAAGGTTCCTATCTTCAGCAATGTTCTGATGGATTAGACCTATTCTATGGTAAACAGATTAGTTCATAAATTTCCATTCGATCGGTGCTAGTGTGTCATTCATTTATAATTTGCTTACATCTGACTAGAGAGAAGATTCCTCCTTTTGGCTAGTGGTTCAGATGAACAAGACCTAATCTAGAGTAAACAGTTCAGTTCAGAATTCATTCACCAGGCGACGCTAGCTTACCATTAAATGTTCAATTGTTTACTTCTATTTTGCATTTTAACTACACACTTAGAAAAAATCATGTAAATTTAGGTGCTCTGAGAGTGACATATACGAGCGTCAATTTTGACATAAATTTGCGTCATAACAGACGTGAAATATAGCTTAATCGAACGTACTTTTCGTCGAGCAACGATTTTTTCAGTGTCGGAACACTTAATATTACATGACATGTTTGTTTACGTCTCATATTTTATGTCATAGACGGATTCCGTCACGTGTAAAATTAGTTATTTCGAAGTGTGTAGATAGATATTTTGTCACAAATACTTTATCCGCAACAAAATGCATTTTTGATCTATCCTTCCATACTAAGCGACATATTCAAAACTACATCATTACCATACCCCATATAAAGAGTGAATTCTGATCCCATAGAAAAAAAATTCTAGTTCATGTGAATAACTTTACTGAAGATGGGAAACTTCTACCTAATCAAGATGTTAAGTAGAAGCGAAGAATTGTAAATTTTATGGCAAACTAAATGGTAAGATAATTCTGAACTGAACTGTTTACCATATAAAAGGTCTATGAATAATCTAATCTAATCTATTCTAACACCAACACAGCCAGTTCTTGAAAGCATCCTGGAAAATGATGGATATACCTCCATCATTTTTCTTGTCTATTTGATATATGTTTCACATCGAAGATGCAAGATGCGTCACACATATCAAAACGACCAGGCCTACTGTGCAGCATTTAAGGGGAAAGATGATTCAGAAAACATCGAAGATTTAAACACGATGCTTCAGAATCCAATAAATGGATGAAACGTGGACATCTCGTACCGTACGTTCCGATTTTGGTAATTATAAGATTGGTTGGTTGTTGGAAGCATCAAAGCTAGAAAGGTTAAGTGATGCTCCATTTTCTTCTGACGGTTGGGACATGAGCACTAACGCTTGTCCTAGCATTTTATGGCTTACGGCTATAGCGCCATTACTCGCTTTCTGAAAAGAGAAGAGGGAAAGGAAAAGGAGAAGGACAAAGGGAAAAGGATTATGTAAACTCTATGAACATAAACAATATTTTTGATTTGAAATATTCAATATAGAAATGCATAACGGCGGTGGTCACTACCCGAGTCTTGTCACTATTTTCATAAAAAGTAACAAGCACTAAAATGTGATATTTTGATTACTGGAAAATCCTGATTCCCTAGTTTGAAGTTGTCACGACTAGGGTTCGGTGGTAGATCTTATACCAGTAACGCACCATAAAAAGGTGATCTACCAACGTTACTGGTTTGAAAAGATAAAAATTTACAAAATGGAACGAACTCACCAAGTTCAGCCAATTGAACCTGAAGGCTGTCTGACATGTGTTGATGTAGAAGTCCAAATTGTAGACGAAGCTTGACAAAAATCAACATGAACTAGTCCGACTTATGGTAGTTGCGTGGAATGTCTTCCGTCGATTTGAGATAAACAAATGTTCGGATGTATGTAGTCGATTTTTGATGTGAATTGGCAAGCCTTTTCGTGGCCAATAGTCAGGTTCAACGCTGCGACTCAACGAATGATGGAACTAATGATCTATTCAATATGTTAAGTAAAATAGAATTAAAAAATAA